GGCTGTTGGATGTACTCACAGCATCAACAGATTATTGCGAGCAAGAATTTCCCGAGCAGATGGAGCGGGGAGTTTGGGGGTTCAATGGTTGCTATGGATTAGATTTGGTGGTACCAACTTTATCACATATTGCAGGTTTGAGGGTATGGGTGTCTACAACGGAATTTGTGTGCGTGGCTTGTGGTTCCTCACTTCCTTTTTCTGTGTATAATCAAGTCCTTTTTCCGGCTCTCACGCCAACCCCGGCTTCCACGCCCATACTCCGGCTATCACGCCAACCCGGCTTCCACGCCTTCAGGACTCCCACGTCCCTACATATACCTTTACATCAGGGCCACCACGCCACCCGGCTTCCACGCCACAACTATATTATACACGAGCTTCCACGCTCCACCACGTAGAAGGGCTTTCACGCCCGCGGATAGTTTCTACATTTTGACCGTTGGCAGTACCCAGCTGCTGGCACCTTTTGTTTCCCACTACGGGACCCCGCGCCGAGGCACCCACGCACAAAGCTACTCAACACAGCCTCAAGCCCATGTGATCCGGCCGGGTGCTAACGAGCTCAGCGCATATCTTTTATTAGATAAAATTAGACCATCTGATCAGTCAACGTTGACTTAGTGGTCTAATGGATAAAATTAGACCATCTGACTGATCAGTCAACGTTGACTGTCATCGTTGACTGATCAGATGGTCTAATTTTATCTAAAGTCAACGTTGACTGATCAGATGGTCTAATTTTATCTAATAGTACCTACGTACAATCGCAGTCAAGGTCTATCTTATTGTACGTGTGTGTTCTTGGGTCAGGTGCGCGGTCGGCAGGGGTTGTTAGAGTTTGCAATTTAGACGTACGCGGTGTTGTCTCTCATGGCATATGCCAGTGATCATCCCAGAACTTGGTTGCTTTATACACTGGTACAAGGAGCGTATGACTATCGTTGCGTAGCACTGTCCAGAAGCAGCCACAGGCAAGATCAAAGGCCATCACGGAACTTATTGCCCAGAACATCTTGCTTGAACGACGCTACCAAGTGCATCCAACCCACTCAGCACAAAAGATGCTGCCAAACTATTTTGCTGTCGTACATCTGTCGCAGGGCCCAAATGGGCGAGAACACAAAAACAACTTCGGCGGAAACGAAAAAATGTGGGCGGCAAATTGCAAAACGACTTCGGCTGAAAGAAAAGAAACGATGAGACGGCAAACGACCCAGCTTGTCACACCACGCGGGGATCATCACAGGGGATAGATGCACCAAACTTCCGGTCTCGCGATTTTGCCTGCGCGCCACGTGCGAATCGACGCCTGCGCGACTACCAGGCCAGGATCCTGTACACCGCCCTCAACATTTGGCAGAAGCACTGTTGGAGGGTTTCCCGACTCTTACCTAATCGGACGCTCGATTGGAAGGCACAGAGGACGCGCGGTGAAGCTGGCGGCCTGTGTGCCGTGTAGGGTACAAAGAACATGTGGACGATTATTGCAAGGGTGATGCATGCATACAGATGATAGCGGACATCTTCACACGATATTTCTGGTTGCAATATGTTCAACTGTTTGCGTGCATCTTGCACTCTTGTCATGTCGAGAAACGAAATTGATCTGGCCGTCAAGACTCTATGGACGCTGCTCAATGTTGCGATGCAACGGAAGGCACATGGTGTGCGCGACCGAGTGGTGATACAACTCGCAAACAACTTGTCGCTTAAACCAGCTGTGATAATCCGATGTTTTGTTGTACAGCATCACATCATGCTTTACACCATACCGCAAGGCACAATTGAGCGGCACAAAGCAAGACGACATGCGCGAAAAGAATCATCCCGAAACGCGAAACGACTTCGGCGGAAACAGAAAGCCAGTTTGTCGGGCCACACGCGGAACTTCTCTATGGCTTCAGCATGTGTCCTGTCTCGCAACTTTGTCGGCTAGACGCCACGTGCTAACGACAGCTGGGTGACCGCAAGGCTTTAGTTCTGGAAGAAGACCGTAACAAAAGTTTCAGAATATACGGTCGGCGGGTCTCCCCGACTCTGACCTGATAGCACGCTCGATTTGCAGCCCCGGTGGAGGCACGATGCGCCGTTGGTTGCCTCTGAGTGTCATGCAAGGGAAGAAAGTCGGGCGATGAACGCATAGATACTAGAGGACACAGTCACGCTAAAGGCGCACTGAATCATGTAGAGAACATACTGATTGGTCTCGATTTTTCATGGACGCTGCTGGACACTGGCACGTTATTAGTCAAATAAATGCTGCTGTAACAGTTTAACAACCCAAGTTCTGGATGGAATGATCCCATGCTGAACATCAGATAACGGGCCTGATGCCAAGACCATCGAGCTTGAACTATGCCGACAAAAGACGCCAACACAAGCAGGCGTTTCGGCATTGACACAGCAGCGGGCATCCCACAATACACCATCGTTGATTTGGGTAGAATCGCACTGCCAAAATGGGCGGTAAAAAAAAACTGCAAGACGACTTCGGTGGACAAGAAAAGAAGAACATGTTAAGCGCGCATTCGTAGGCTTTCTACAGCCTTCCTCGCAAAAAAAAACGTGTTTTGGTACTCCACTGCCGTGTGCTCTAGACAAT